TGGGTGAACAGGGTGTAGAGGATGGGACTGAGGACACATCCCTGTGGGGTGCCAGTGTTTGTAACAATGCTGGCTGAAGTCCTGTTGCCAATCCTGACAGTCTGGGGCCTGCCAGTCAGAAAGTCCAGGAGCCAGTCACAGAGGGTGGGGCGCAGACCCAGTGCGGACAGTCTGTGGGTGAATTTGTGGGGGTAACTGTGTTGGGTTGCTCTCCTGATTTCAGTCTGCTCGCTTGTGCCTGGTGCTCCAGAGGCTCCCCGAGGGCGATGGTGGCTTTCCTCGCCATTGTTGTTATTGTCGCCGGAGCGAACAATGAGTTGTAGCTCCGGTGGTATGAAACCAGTAAATTCCCAGTGGCTTTGTGAGTTGGTGATATCCAGCAATGCCTGTCTGTTGTATGTAAGCAGTGCATGACATTTGTGCACTGCAGAAAGAGTAAAAAACACAAAAAAGAAGAAAACAAAGAAATAGCTGGCATTCGAGAGTGGAACGTGCAAACACGTCTGCCTCGGTGGGCGCTATCTTGCATATCAATATCTTCAAGCCAATTTCTTTTAGAGGTTTCTATGGCCAGATATAAACATTGGGGTGACCGTGCTTTTACTGTTGCAGCCCCTAAATTGTGGAACAGTCCACCTTTTAATGTTAGATCAGCTACTGACCTGACTACTTTTAAATCCTTGCTTAAAACTTATTTGCCTTGGCTTTTAATACACGGTAGGGCCTGATGCATTCTTCTTAATCTAATTTATTGAATGTGTGTCATCTGTGTGTCTGAGTTATTGTTTTATTTTTGCACTGTATTTTATTTTAGTTATTTATCCTTATTTTGTTCTGTCTATGTAAAGTACTTTGGTCAACTGGATGTTGCTTTTAAAGTGCTATATAAATAAATTTGATTTGATTTGAGGTAGGATGGGGTGGGGAGCTCTTCCTAAACTCCACTGTCATCTCCACTGTTCTGAGCGCATTCAGCTCCAGGTTGTTACGACAACACGACCGGCTGTTCAACCTCCCGTCTGTACGCTGACTCGTCAGATGAGACCAATGATCGCTGTGTCATCTATGAACTTCAACAGTTTAACAGAGGGGTCCTCTGAGGTGCAGTTGTTGGTGTAGAGGGAAAACAGCAGAGGACTGCTAATCTAGTCTTATTTGTTCACCATGTAACTGACTCAACAAGTAAATACATCCATTCACCAATGGGGATAAAAATCTCCGACTCAACGCCACTCGGGCAGAACTGATGAAGGTTCTTGGATGAGAGGTGAAATGTTTGACCTAAAAAAACCTAGTCCAGTTGATTTTTCTAAGTTTTTTTTTCAGCTTTCACACTAAGGAGTTTTTACATGAAAGAACTTGAACTAAACATTCAGCTGCCCTGACACGCAGCTCTGAAGTGAAGTCGGCTGATCTGGGCAGGTGACTCTGTGCGCAGCCTGCCTCCAAACGCCAACCTCTGAGGAGTGCGGTGTAGCGTGAAGCTCACTGAAGACGAGGTCACAGACAGCTGACAGCCATGTGCTCAGCTGCTCAGACAGCAGCTCCAGCTGCTCCATGCTGCCTGTGGCTCAGTCGTTGTTTGAGGAAACACAAACATCTGAGCTGAGGGGAAACATTACATCTCAGCTGCAGGTTACAAACAGCTACATGTCATCAACCCGGCATTTGGTTGATGATGTGAGACCAGTGTGTTTCCTGCCGGACACTGCCATTTTCAAAACCCAAAGAAATGCACTGACTGTGACAGAAAACAGAAATGTGACACATTACAGACACTGACTCTAAGGGTTGCCTTTAATAAGAGACTGAAACAAGTATTTGATAGCTGGTGATGAATTTTCTCAGTCGACTTTTTGTTGCAACTCTAATGTGATTTTTTTCTTGCTCTTTGTGTTTTTACAGTGTTAACAGAGATAAATCAGGGCATTGAAATAAAGGATAAAAGGAAAATCTGAGATTTAACATGTGTTAATGTGTGTTTCCAAGACGGGGGTGTAACAGATGCCGGAGACTGAAGACAGCTGCACTCCGACATACTAATTATACACACACACTGACACACTAACACACAGGAACACAGTGACACACACACTCCCAGTGTAATCTTCAGTGTGATCCAGTGAGAACACAGTGTTTCCAGGCCTCTGATCTGAACACTGAGACGGTCCGACATTTAAGGGAACATTGTGCCACTTAAAGGAACTGTTCAACTCTTAACGAAACAGTCTGAAACTTAAGGGAACAGTCCAACATTTCAGGAAGCAATTAGACTTTTAAAGGAACAGTCCAACATTTAAAGGATAAAAAGCTTTGTACTACTTCATCAGCACCAGGTTGCTTCACTGTCAGTCAGAGAAACAAACCTACAGTAAAGCACAAGCTGTTGAATGAAGAATCAATTCTGTATGAACAGTAAAAATAAACCCTAACTGTGAGATTACCACCTGTCAGACACAATATTAGACATCTTCCCCACCCTCATGAGAAACATGTACCAAGGAGGACCTCTGTTAGTTACTGATCTGTCACTGATTCTGATTTGCTGCTTTAGCCTCAGAGACACATTAATCAGACAGAGAGGAAGGAAGAGGCTGAACCAGCAGAGGAAATGGAAACACAGCAACAGTAACTACAGCTCATTTTACCACACAGGATGAACTTCCTCCTTCATTATAAACAGTAGGACACGCACATTAAAACAGTCTCCTCAGGAAGATCCTGTTTCTCCAACACAAGCGCCTCCACACAGACCATTTCCATCACATAATGAAACGACCATAAAGTCAAAAACCACAAAACAACATTAAAATGCTAACACATTGGTTCACTATCAATAATAATTGCATTAATACACAATAATGTCAGCAGAATTTCTGCACAGAGTACTTTTACTGTTGATACTTTAGTCCATTTGCTAGTAATACTTACAGTACATACTTTGATGATATTTTCACAGCATGACTTTTACTAGAAATGGAGTATTTTTATTGCCGTATTTCTACTGGCAGAATCACTAATAAGCTCTGGATCGGGTCAGGATTTACTGTACAGTCTACAGGGCACGCTGAGCATATAAACAAGAAAAATATGCATTCATATCAAATGACCAACAGGAACATTTGTAAACCTACTAACAACAGATCGACTTCACTTGTGTTACTGAGCAATCACAGCGTAAACACTAAAGCTCTGTGCTGCCAGGAAAATGTCTGGAATCAGCTGAATGAACTCAGTCCATCGTTAAAGTTCACTTTGTTCAAATTTGTTCACAGACTGCTTAAAAAAAGCCTCTCTCTTGAAGCATGACTGATCATTAACACCTCAAGCCTTTCATAAAAGTTCATTTAAATTCACTACTTTTGTTCATATGACCTTTGTCAGCGGAGCTTGTTTAAGTAAAGACAGTGTCAATACGTTCAGTTTCAATAAAAACTGTTCAAACTGCTGCTGTCAATTAAGTTCACTTCAGTGGTCCTTTTTATTTTAAATACCCAGCAGAACAGGAACACATCAGCTGAGTGGCAAAGAAGGAAAGTGCTGTCACAGCCCCCCCCCCACCCCACAGACATCAAATGTCATTAAACAACAAACGACATACAGACTGAGCTTTGTTCACAGTGTTCAGTCAGTGTTAGAAACTGGTTTCTGCTTCAGTCACAGTGTTACAGACTGGTTTCTGCTTCAGTCACAGGGTTACAAACTGGTTTCTACTTCAGTCAGTGTTACAGACTGCTTTCTGCCTCAGTCACAGTGTTACATACTGCTTTCTGCTTCAGTCACAGTGTTACAGACTGGTTTCTGCTTCAGTCACAGTGTTACAGACTTGTTTCTGTTTCAGTTACAATGTTACAGACTGGTTTCTGCTTCAGTTAAAATGTTACAGACTGCTTTCTGCTTCA